AACACGCCTAATAATGTTCTCGACATATTCTTGGATGCCATCGACTCTGAGCTCGCACCAACTCAGCGCGAAAAGATTATAAATCTTCTACTCCGCTTTCACTCTTCATTCGATCTTGACCAGTCAGGCTTAGGCCGAACCTCTGCGGTCGTTCACCGTATTGACACCGGTCAACAAGCCTCGCTAAGACAGCGTCCGTACCGTGTGTCATCTGCTGAACGCCGTGTCATCAACGAGGTGAACGACATGTTGAAACGTGGCATCATCGAGCCCTCCAACAGTCCCTGGGCTTCACAGGTTGTTCTCGTCAAGAAAAAAGACGGATCCATCCGGTTCTGCATTGACTATCGCCGACTCAACAAGATAACGCCCAATGACGTATACCCTCTGCTGCGCATCGATGATGCTCTGGACTGCCTACAAGGTGCAGAGTTCTTTTCTTCGTTATATTTACGCTCCGGCTACTGGCAGGTGCCCATGGCAGAGGGTGACCGCCCGAAGACAGCTTTTGTAACACCAGATGGACTATATGAATTCACCGTTATGCCCTTTGGCCTCTGGGATGCGCCTGCCACTTTCGAAAGGATGATGAATACCATCTTGCGAGGTCTGAAATGGAAAACGTGCCTCTGTTATTTGGACGACATTGTGGTATTTTCAAGAGACTTAGCGACCCACCTCAGCCGCCTCGAGCAAGTTCTTACGTGCCTTTCCACGGCGGGACTTCAACTAAACTTGAAGAAATGCCACTTCGGCGCTCGCAAGCTTGTATAATTCTCGGCTATGTAGTTTCTAAGGACGCCATTCTCCCGGACCCTATGAAACTTAATGCAGTCGCGGCGTTCCCAAAGCCAACCACCATCAAAGAGCTTCGAAGCTTCATCGGCCTATGTTCTTACTTTCGGCGCTACGTCCGCCATTTCGCCTCCATTATTGCCCCCTTGACCTATCTTCTTGCCGGAAGTTCTGATTTGCCAGCGTGGTCGCAGGCGTGTAATGATGCATTTCAGGAACTCTGACGGCTCCTCACCACACCTCCCATACTGCGACATTTCGATCCGTCTGCTCCAACAGAGCTTCATACAGACGCTAGTGGTGTCGGGCTAGGGGCCATACTGGCCCAACGCAAGGGTGGCTTTGACGAGTACGTCGTTGCCTATGCCAGCCGCACCCTCAGTAAAGCCGAGAAGAATTACAGTGTAACTGAAAAGGAGTGCCTCACTATTATTTGGGCAATCGGAAAATTTCAGCCTTATTTATATGAACGTCCGTTTGATATTGTAACAGACCACCATGCGCTTTGCTAGTTATCTTCACTGAAGGAGCCTAATGGTCGGCTCGCTCGTTGGGCATTGCGGTTACAAGAGTTTGATATCCGTGTTATCTACCGTTCTGGCCGGAAGCATTCCGACGCCGATGCCCTGTCACGTTCACCATTAACTTCAGAGCCTGTCGGCTCGCCTATCTCCACCAGTGCTGCCTTGGCCATCAGCATTTCGGACATGCCTTCCGAGCAACGCAAAGATGCTTGGATTTCTTCTCTTTTGGACTTGCTCTCAAACCGGACGCCCGCTCCAGTTTCCAGGACGCTGCCTTTCTTTCTTCTTTATGGACGCGAGCCATCATCAATAATGGATACTATTCTTCCTTATCAACCGGACCCTCCAGAGATGACTACCGTTTCTCGAGCAGCAGCACACGCTGAAGAATGTCGGAAGCTTGCTCGTGCGTTCACGTCACATGACCAGACGCGCCAAAAACATCGCCACGATGCGTCAACCACGCCTATGAGCTTTGCTCCGAACTCACTGGTGTGGTTATGGATTCCTTCTACTTCTCCAGGACTCTCCCACAAGCGTTCGTCCAGGTACCATGGCCCTTATCGAGTTGTATGCCAAACATCCCCTGTCAACTACCTGGTCAAGCCGCTGGATGCATCTCCGGACAACCGCCCTCAGGGACAAGAAATTGTACACATCTCTCGGCTCAAGCCATACCATGACCCTTGTGTGTACACCTGTCCTTAGGTCGCCAGGACGGTTCCCTCATCGCCCCGGGGGTGATTGTCACGAGGGCAGTGGGCATCGAGCTCTAGTATAGAAAAGGAAGAAGACTTGCTGCGATCGCAGGCTTGCGTTCAGTTAGCCCTTGCGCTAAATAAAGCTTTCGTTCGCCGAGTCAACTCCTGCTTGTTAAACAACCCGTTGCAATATATATATATATATATATATATATATATATATATATATATATATATATATATATATATATATAATATAATATATACATGTGTGTGTATTTCTCACTAGATGGAATTGTGTGTATATGTCCTTGGAAATGATATCTCTAGTGGTTATCACTAGAAGTTAGTGGTTTCCGTATAAAGTACACTTACGACAATTCATACTTTCGGTTAATTCAAACAAAATTCAATTATTTGGTAGGCCCTCTATTCTTTCAATGTACTTAAAAGCCTCTTAAGTAAAAGTCCGTCATTCGGTTAATTCATACTTATTGCAGTTTCATACCAGAAAGTATTTGTTTCTTTCCCAGCACTACTATTTAAAAATTTGCGTGCTTGTAGAATGCTAACAGTCTAAAAATGAAAACTAAGCGCCTCAGGCCTTCAAGGCAAACGGCTTTGCTAGTAAACAAATGCTTGCATCGAAGCACATATGCGGTAAACCGAGATGCTTCTCAATTGGTATAGAGAGCTTTGTGCTGAGGGCACATAGCAAAAAACCAGTTGGCAGTTAACAATTTCTTTAAAAGGTCTGATCAGCAGTAAATTGCCGATGAACTTGTAGATGGTACCTTACACCTCTGCTTTCTGTTCATTACTACAGTTCGGTTTTAAAACCGCTTAAAATTTTTTAAATCAGATAAAATCAATGCCTAATCGTAATCTTTGATGTCACCTCACCCACAGTTGTATATCTGAGAACTTCTGATAGTTCAAACTTCTTGATAGTTCATACAAATTCAGAGGTTCCTTCGAGTTTGAATTAACCAGAGTCAACCGCAGTTAATGATTTCGTGCAGTTGACAGACGAACAGACAGACTTCACCCCAATCATCATTCATTCTGTGAATATCTAGTAACGTTGTGAATATGCTGTGAATTTTTTTATATTTTCTTCCAATTATGGGCTATAGCTCTGACTGAAACATACGCCAGCAGACATCACCACCAAATTTGGCTGTTGTACTGAGTAACATTGGTACTAAGCTCATAGCAGCTTGCGCTGCAAAACAGCTGGTCACTTTCTTATGCTATGTCGGCGATAGTGACCTTCAGCAGCTTGTAGACAGATTTTCCCATCTCCTGCAGGTTATTATGTGGCTTAATCTTGGTTCATCAGATTGTCTGGGCCAAGGATGTGCAGCATTTATATAAGAATTTGGCATTGGCGATTGATGACGAGACTGGTATGCTCAATAAATAGAATTCTAGTTGGGCTGCGGTAGTAGCAGCCACATATTGACATTCCCAGTGATTACACACACAACAGAAGACTAGTTCGTGGCTTGATGATGGTACAGCCGAGCCCTTTATAAGAGACAAATAAGTGTAAGAGACACCAGTATCCCTACAGTAAAATACAGGGGATAGGAAAATGCATACAATGTCCCCTGTTTATTAAATTTATCTTGCCCAGAGCATGCCTCTTACAAAGGGGTTTAAATGAACAAAGATTTATTAAAAACAAGGAATGTATGCAGGGAGCGCCTCTTAAGAGGACGGCACCCACAACTGTACTCGGGGACTACTTTCTGAGGCAATGAAGGGAAGGCTACGGAGGTAAAGTGGGCATGTGCCACCACTCTAGAAAATAGTGCCACGAATGCGTCCGTGTTTTTCGCATTAAAGCAATCAAAAAGAACAACACTACTTTGCACTAGATGCTGTTTATAAAGAGATGCTGCACGCACGGAGGAGATACCATTATTTATTGTTGCTTTATGAAGAGTAATTTCATGTTTTTGCACGTGTGAAAAATGACGCATGTTTTACGTGCACCTCGCAACCAAAATGGCGTCTTCGTCCTTAAGTGAGCGCGCGTCACCCTCCAGCTATTTCGTCGACTCGCCGAAAGAGCTTGTGTCGAATTTCTCTCACAAATGGCTGTGTAAGCAGGCGTATAACATTGTGTGCAGCGGAATCACATGAACGTGGCTGTCACTCGAAACGCGAGCCAAAGAGGACTACATCGCGGAGAAGCACAGGAGTAGTAGCTCCGCCCATGTAGCCTTCCCTTCATTGCCACAGAAAGTTGTCCCCGAGTATACATAGTAGGTGGGGATCAGCTGAGGATGGTACCGGCAGTGGCATTTCTGTCGAAAAGACAAGCCCATAAACGTGCTGCTCTCTGAATGGGTAAGCATTCTAGAGCTAGTTTCCCTGGAAAATTCATCCTTAATACAATGCCAATGGCTCCTTCGTTCATTCTCTTATTTACTGACACATCAAGGGTGGACACATCTAGTCAGTTGTAGACTTTTGATCAAAGTGTAGCTGGAGTGATGCACATCATTGGCAGGAAGACACTTCCACAGCCTGGACAAATGAGAATATTTTGGGTGAGGCACGCTGCGGAGATTGAGAGAGATCGTGGTGCCATCTAGGACAGCTACGTAGTGCATAATGAAGCCGATGAATACAAATAAATGTAGAAATAGGTTCCCAACAGCTGGAGCACATAAAACCATATGCTCTAATCATTATACCACTTGCCTGATCCAGTGGAATACTAACCCTCAGGAATGCCGAGGACTTCCACTTAAAAATATGCTATAATTAGCTTAAACAAATCCTGTGTGCAAAGAAATCATCTCATATAGTCAGGAAAGACATGTGTGGGAGAACTGCGACCCGTTTCTGGCAGCTGCTTGGAACTAGTAGCCGCAAAATGCAGGCCATACTTGTGCTTCCCCACCTTGGCTATAGTACCTAAAAGGGGTGCATCAAGGTGATAAAATTGCTTAAGAAGCAGTTAACATACCAGACATTAACAAACACGTTTTATTACAATCATACAATGGTGACACACAAGGTGTACACAGAATGAGATTTAGACAAATATTTTAGAAATCAGTCTCTCATCAAAAGGCTGATCCGCACAACAGCGTGTCACATTTACCTCCACTGGGCCCACAGTATAACAATTATCACAGCAAACGAATCGGAAGAAATAAAATAAAACATTCTGACAAACCACCAGGCACGCAACATGAGGTCATAAAAAGTGTTGACTAGCAATCGCTGAGAAATTTATCTTAATGGGCTATATAACTTTGACTTTTGATTTTATTTGAAGTACATGAGATGTTAAACATGACCTATGCATTAAATTATTTGCTCACTACAGAAGTATCTTGTGCATGGACTTCATTAAAAAAAAAGGCATCGCATAGAATGCAAATGACACGTACAATTTGAATAGTTGAAGAAACTAAAGCACTGCTCATTTGGAGTAGCACACATTTATGCAGATTGACCAAAGGCACTTGTCTGAGCAGTGCTGCCATACTGAATTCGTGTAAAGTTTGAACAAGTTGTTCTTTGTAATACTGTGTAATAAAAGATGTTTGTCCGGGTGAAATGATGTGACAAATGAAAATGCAATGACAAATGCATCAGCAGCCTGCAAATGCAGTTGCAGCAATGACGTGCACTGCCATATTGCAAATGGGATACTGTCATGTAAAAAAGAGACAAGAAATTCATGCTGTTTAATTGAACATCCTATGCAAGGCTTTTTTTGTACACTTGCCTGAACTTGTCATTGCCTTAGTCTTCCAACTTCATTTTTCTGATGCTTCAGAAGAAAAGCTTGCATATAACAAGCCATGCTATTCTACATAAAAGTGTGTAATTTCTGTAGAGTAAAACATGTGGCCAATGGTTAAAAATTACTTGCAATGTCAAAAATTCAATCACCACCAATTGCATAGCAGTGTGCACACTAATGATGTGCTTCCAGTGGAAAATAATTTAGGCTATTTTTCGTCAGCTAGCACATTATAGAATCCTAGCCGAAGTGCTCGGCGCATCAAACATCTAAGGTGACAACAAATAAATTACCAGCACACATGTCGCAACATTTATGCCATTTATATGAGCCAGCTGACCAGCCACCTCAATTTTGTTCATCATTACAGACTCACCCAAACCATGCCAACTTAACAAGGAAGAACGAGAGATAGCCCACACAGCTGTCCTGTCCCACAAATCGTTGTCCTCGCAGTGACAGCATTTCAGTTCCCACCGGGCAATTCCACCACAACAGGACGCTCTTCCTCGGCCACTTCTTGCTCGAAGCTCCAGCCCATCAACTTGGTCAAACTTATCCTGAAACGGTTGGCCTTCATCTTTAACGTCGTCGGTGAGTTGTCAGGCAGACTGGACTCGGCAATGTTTCGGAACAGCGAGGCCAGGGCCTCAGTGAGGAAGTTCTTTCGAGACACGATGTCCACAAAGAAGTCGCAGGGGACTTCGCGCAGCTGGAAGTGCAACACGGAGACCAGGTCGCTGAAGAAGTCTGGATGCCGGTCGATGGCCTCGCTGCTCGTGCAGAAGATGCGCACCAGCTTCTGCCACTGTTCAAAGCAGGGATACACGTGCCCCACCAGAAAGCACACAAACACAAACTGCAGTTCACCTAGCAGGTCCTCCTGGTGTGGCCAGGTGGCCAGCAGCTGCTCCAACACGTAGCTTGAGTCCATGCCGTGCTTGGTGATCTCCGATGGGGTCGAGCCACTCGGGTGCCTATAAGAATAGGCACATCATTTTTGCTCAACAGGAACAGTTGGCCTGTTTATTCACTATGTTGGTCTCGTCATTTGCAACAAAATTTTGAACACATAGGCATTGCGAATTTCTTGGCATAAGTCGAGCAGCAAGCTCATGCATTTTCAACAACTGTTTAGTTAATTGTGAGCATGTTCTTTTTTCTAAGTTGTCACCGCCAAATGTTCATATCACTACTTCCTCATGAAGGAAAGAAGTGTAATTAAATGCGCTCCCTTTGTTTTCTTTCTTTTTCTTTTTTGTTAGACACAATACGAATCAGAAATAAGAATAATGACACCAAGGAAAGTACAGGAGATGTTATTAGAAGTACTTGTCATGTAAATGGGAAAAAATGAAAAGTGGATGAAAAGATAACTTGCCACTGGCGGTAACAAAACCTGCAAGCTTCGAATAATGCGTCCGATGCTCTACCAACTAATCTCTCCGTCCACTTCATAGGGTATATATATGTGCATTTTAATTGTGGGAGCGTCAGCACCACCAGTAGCTATTATGGCGAGTGTGAAACAGAGCACCGTGAGTGCCATAATTTACGACATGAATTTTATCGGAAGCATTCACAAGCTTCCCACAAAATTTATGATGTGGGTGTATAGCACAGTGGCCTTCAGATCAGCACTTTTCCACGGATTGCCTGTGTTCATACGCCGCGTCAACAAGAAAGTTAATTCTGTTTTTGTTTTATTAAATTCTACATTCACCACACCCCCTGTTCAGTCCAGGTCAGTTCTTCCAAGGTTCATCAAGTGACTTCTTCCCCCTGTCCCCCCCCAGGTGTTTTAGCGAACACTAGTGCAAGGTCCCCAAAGACAGCCTCACTGAAACAAAATTCAAAGGCCCTATCAAGGAAATGGGGGCATCTTTCATTCTACTACACTGTGCGACGCGTCCTTCCGGATTCTTCCTCCACGTCAAGAACAGAACTTGCATCTACTTGCTGAGCAGTGCTACATTTCTTTGCTTCAGGCAACAATGATGGTGATTCACTCACATGCAGGCAACAATGAAATGTGAATGGACAAGATACCTCAATAAAAAACCAGACTGCCACATCACATATGGCCGGCAAGCTCATGTTTGAGAAAACAGTAATTATTAGTAAATGCCGCATGCACGAAACTTGCATTTCTAGGGCAACAATTTCTTTACACTCACCAGTGACAGGTTTTTTAGTGCATGTTGTTGCCAACGATATCTAAATTTTAAACGAAAGGCATCAGCGGCACAGTTAGAAATCTACGGTTTTGTGCTTAGAAGCCATGCGTCTAGCAAACAGGTGTCAACAATAGAAACCTCTAGAGTATTCATTTCCACTGTCCAGTGCGTGACAATCAAAACTATTTTTGTTATTTATAGAGATAAGGTGATGAAGTTCGGCATGCAGATATGACTTACTGTGCTGATATTTTATCTAAAATCACTTTTGAGCTATCTACTGCAGTTTCTGAGTTAAAACACTTGACAAACTTTCATTGTCATCCCAAAATTAAATAATGAATTAGACATAAGTTCCTCAAAATTTCTGCGTAATAATATTCACAAAGGCCCATTATGCATCATAATGCTATTGGTTTATTTATTAACATTTAAATAAGCACACAAAAAATTTTGAAATTTCCTGTAGATATCGTGTTACTAGTCTCCTTTACAAAAAGCCAATCATAAAAAAATTTTTACGACGTGGAGACAAGTATTGACAGCTTTGTGGCGCTCACCAATATCTCTAGATCTAAATAATGAAAACAGAATGGTTATTATCATCATTTCTTGTGATATGGCCCACAGATGATTGACAGCAACTGCTCAAAAAGTGAAAGCTGAGAAAACGGTGCTCAAAGAAAACCGAGTTAAAAGCTGAGAAAGCTGAACTCAGAAGGAAGATGGTTTGATTTTTCATTAAAACAATGCAGTTTTGTGGCTATCTTGAACTCTGGTCTGTCGTTTTTACAATGATACTAATATGATGACACTGTACTATAGAAAAGTTGCAAACTTGCATTTTCTAAAGCCCGATTTTCTCATAGTTCTTTATGACAGCACACAAGTAAAATGCTACTACTGCTTATTTTGTTCTAATATTATCGCATGACATAAAACATAGCCTCAGTGTTGCAGAACTGAAAGTATTCCCATTGCCCCTTCAGCATTGTTAAGCAAGCTTCCCTGTCCCAGATGGCAGAACCAGTAGAACGCAACTATTGCACAATTTCGCAATCGAGGGGAGGTGTGCCTGCGTCCTGTTGCTTGTCATTTTCTGCCATTTGCAATCCACCCCATACTGATCTTCTTGCAAAGTTTGCGTGCTAAGAGTCACCTGTGACTGATTGAACAGACGAGCATTAGCTCATAGAGCTTCTTGGGATTCAGTGCCAATTACAAAGTCCCTTGCATGAAAGATTACCTATGCATTTGTCATATATTAACAGTATGACACTTTCATGACAGGCATGCAAACACAAACACACCAGAAGAATAACAGACAACAAGAGCATTGGCTATCAACTCTCTGACATGTGTGGGCCAACACAAAAGGTAACCACTTAGGCACATTTCTCCTTTATGAAAAATATTAAAATTTTGGTTCATGCAGACAATTTCACTGACATGCCTGCCTAAAGCATGATACAGTCTGTACAATACTGCAGGTTTGTACATTTTCTTCGTGCATTGGCATTTAGAATCTCCATGATCCTTAGTAGCAAATCATTTCCAGTATAGCTGAACAATGAGCATAATGTGAGAACATGCCTTTTCTTGGGGATCTCTGTATAACGTATCTTGCACTCGGGCACCTCTTTCAGCTCAAGCAATTCTTTGGCCCTGTCAGACAGCCTGATGTCCTCGCCACAGTCGCCCCTCGAATCGACAGAGGCCAGGTCACCACCTCTATGTGAGCAGAAGTTAATTGGCTCAAAAGGCGTGGCCGAATAGATGACGCTCCTCTCTGGCTGCAGCCGCTCCAGCACCGCCCGGCTGACATGCTTCGTGAGGGAAATCCAGCGCCGCCACTCGGCGTACGCAAACACCGCCAAATGCTGATCCAGGTCGCCTCTCAAGTTCGAGCGCAGGCGCTCCACCTCTTCCATGTCCACTGGCTCGGGTGATATGTCTGCACAGACAGGCTCGCTTTCTTTCAATACTGCAGTACCACCCATCATTATTTATATTATTTATTTATTCATACTGTTAGCATACACTCCAAAACAGGAGTTGCTCAGCTGTGCACAAAGCAGCAGTTTCAAAAACCAATTCAATAGGGGAAGAAAACCTCGCAACTTGACACCATGCAACAAAATGAAAAAGAAAAAAATGCAACATTCGATGGGCACATTGCAGTCAACTCAGCGGAACACAGGTTTGCAAGTGAGGACATTTTCATCAGCACATTTAATTCAACAATGCGCTTTCAAAATATTTTCAACATCGTTACCCAATACAACATACTTTCATAACTTATTTCATGTGTCAACAGCGGATATGACGAAAATATTTTTGAACGATTCGGTGTTATGCTTCAAAGGTTTAACATGTTTATTGTGCTTTGTCTGCGAATAGGACAGATATAGAGCGAGAATGTTTGTTAGCTCTGTTTTTTAAATGCCATGGAATATCTGAAAAAAGTATTGTACGCTGTTGATGTTTATTCTTTCCTGCAATGCAAAGATATGAGCGTTTGTTCTTAGGCTTGTTACTGACTGCGTTCTATGGTAGGAATTAAGTACACTGAAAGCTCGTTAATTCACACCTCATTAATTCGAAATTTTGGATAATTCGAAATGGTCGCCGCAGTCCGGTCCGCAGTGCATAGGAGACCATGTGTAAAACGATTCGTTAATTCGAACAGAAATTGCTGCCTCTACGAATAATTCGAAGCGCGCGCCGCCGAGCGTCATCATCGTCAAACACTAGTGGAAGCTTTTACGGTCGAACGATATGTGGCACGACCAGTTTTTTCGAGCTTCAAGTGGCCTCCGAGCAAAGGGCGAGCAAAGTATGGCCTCCAAAATCCAGGAAGCAATTTTTTTTCCGTAGCTCTCCCGCTATCTCAGCGCCTGGCGCCACTCGTACGCGGGACCCATGGGATGCTGAGGAGTCGGCGGAGTAGTCCAAGCAGTCCTAGGCCGCTCCCGGCAGCGTCACTTTGTTCCTCGAGCACGTTGTTCGTTCACGAATGATTTTGTGCGCGGGCGACAGGAAGGACTTCGGCATTACGCTGCTCACTGCCACGCACATGTTGGTGCGCGCATGGGAACAGGTGACCGCGACCACAATCGCAAACTGTTTCCGCCACAGTGGATTTGCAACTGGAAGTGCGCAGGATAGTTGTGACGCCAACGTGGATGGGGCTGAGGAGCTCATGCCAGTGGCATTGCGCGACACTCTTCGGGACGTACGTTTTGCCGATTATGTTGAAGGTGACACCGGTGCATCGGAATGTGGTGCCCTGACTGATGAGGACATTATCGCTCAAGTAGCCGGTGCGAAGCCTGATGCTGAAGAGCCAGAAGGTGAGGAAGACGAAAATGAAGCGCCTGTGCGCCCGTCAGCTTCTGCGGTGATGGAGGCACCTAATGTGGCGTGTCTCTTCTTCAGCTTTGAAGAGGGTGAAAAAGATTCCCTGCGCCGCGTCCGCGCGCTAGAGCAGGGAGCCGCAGCTGTGGCATTCAGAGAAAAGAAGCAGATGGTCATCCCCGACTTTTTTGGCCAATAAATATTTTTCGTGCCCCCACCCCCGAAATTCACCCATTTTCGCTCACTTTCATTATTTCGAATTTTGTTTAATTTGAAATTGCTCAGCGTTCCCGTGGAATTCGAATTAAAGAGCTTTTACTGTACTCCATTTTGAGCTCGCTTACATTTAGCTATGTTATTTGGCGTATATGGCTTCTATATCGGGCATGCATATTCCTGCAACGGAAGTACCATGGTTTTATTTGCTCTGAGTTTTCCTTCAATTGTCGCGTCACTAAGCCTCCAACGAAGCATCCAAAGCTTTTCTTCACAGATATAGTCTATATGGCGCTTCCAGTTCAAGTTAGCTGTGACGTAAACACCCACGTATTTATATTCTGACACACAGCAGAGTGGTTTGCCTAAAAAAATAACAGAGGCTTGGTTTTTCTTGCAATCGGCATAAAAACGTTTTTGCTAGGGTTCCATTTTATTTGGCATTTTTTACACCAAGAGCCTATTATGCCCAGATGCTCATTGAGCTTTTCCTGGTTGTAGTTCGATTCTACCTTTGAGTAAATGATTGTCTCGTCCGCATAGTGCTTAAGAAAACATCTGGTGAGAAGCCGCTGTTCATATCAGTGATATACAATAAGAACCACAGAGTTCCCTAAAATTAACTAGAGGGGACTCTGGGGCTGTGATCGTTCGGCGACCATGGGAATGATGAGTAATACACAGATTTTCCTAGTCTTCGTACTTGTAGGCGGCGATTGTACTTGTGGCTTCCTTTATTGCTGTGCTTCGGTTTTGTTTCAAAAGAAAGAACAAACGCTTTTGAACATTGCGACCCAATTTGAAAAGGTAAGCCTAAAAGAATAAGGTAGTGAAGCGCAACCACTGAACATTTGCTAATTTTTGTTTCATGAGAAAACAGCTCCAAGCCACACGAACACACACGGAGCTAGAAGTACAAAAATTAGACAAATCCGTGTACTACCCATCATTCCCATGCTCGTTGAAGTGCCGTGCGTTACAGCTCCCACAGACAATAGCGCCAGAGTTCCCTCTAGTGTATATTTAGGAAGCTATAATAGGAACAGTAGTGGCCCTATGACAGAACGCTGTGTAACAACACCGGAACCTACCGGCCGCCTTGTACTAATTGTGCCTTTAATGCAAAGCACTTGCTCTCTTTTTGTAGGCCGTTATCCAATTTAAAAGCTCATCATTCTGCAGGGCCAGGCTAAGTTTATGTAGCACTTTTGGATAAGGTATTTTGTCGAATGCCTTTCTGAAATCAAAAAAGAAAATGTCAACTTGCCCTCTGTAGTCTAGAACTTGGTTAATAAAATGTGTTACTCCGGTAAGAATCGTGGCAGTCGAGAAACTTCACCTGAAACCGTGTTGTTGTTTTCCTGTTAGTTTGTACTCTTTGAAAAATGTGCTTAGTAAGTACATGCTCCAGTGTTTTTGCAGCATGTGCTTGTCAAAGACACAGGCCTGTAGTTATTCACACAGTCTTTAGCTCCTCCTTTGTGAATCTGTACGACCTTAGCACATTTTCAGTCATGAGGAACCTCCCCGTCATGCAAAGATTTGTTAGATATATGTCAGATAATAAGAGCGCCCTTCAGCATACCGTTTTAAAAAGACATTTGGAATGCCATCTAAGCCACGTGATTTCTTTTCATCAAAAATTAAAAATTTAGATTACAAATGCCTTCCTGAGTAACCACAATATCCGTTATTGGCAGAGCAGGACAACCTAATCTGAATTCCGGCAATACACCATGATACCTTATAAAAACCGATCCGAAATAATCAGTAAAAGTACACGCAATTTGAAAACTGTCGGTAACACTGCCGTTCTCATTAGTTAACTACACATCAGTGAATTTTTTTTGTGGTGAAAATTTCTGCAGTGCTGCTTTAATAAACTGCGTTGAAGATTCATTCACGTATCACTTCTTTGAGTCAGCCAACCCAGCTTTGCACAACAAAAAGAGCGTCATGACATCAGCCGATCTCAAATTTTGTTTACCATTTTTCTTGTTTGGCCCGCATGCGCCTTAGATGACGCTTACACGTGAATAATTTTTCGCGAAACCCACAGATTCATTCCTTGGACTTTTCTGTACCATTTCTTTAAATTTTTCCCACGCCTCATCAACCGGAACTATAAGATACAGCAATGCATTTAAAATCTTCATATTCCACGTCGAAAGAAATCCAGAATTGAAATATGATCAGCTTTAGAGTAATCGGTGATTAGCGCTGCATGACACATGCCTAATAGCTGAAGAATCACAATACTGTGACCTGAAATACCAGCCTTGACTTCTCAAGTGTATATTTTTTTTAGCCAGTGATGCACTCGAAAATATGAGATCAAGTAGAGAGCCACCCTTCAGTAAGCCTGACAATACCCACTGCAGGGCACAGACCTTTCCCATGTTCCACTGATCAAACCGGTCCGGTGCTTGCTGTCGCCAAGTTACGCCTGTAAAGTTCTTAATCTCATCTCCCCACCTAACTTTCTGTCCCTCACTTATGTTTGCCTTTTCTTGGAATCCAGTGAGTTACCCTTAATGACTAGTGGTTATCCTGCCTGCGTGCCGTGCGTCCCGCCCTTGCTCATTTCTTCTTAATTTCAACTATGATGTCCTTAACACCCGTTTACTTCTGACCCCCTCTGCTCTCCTCCTGTCTCTTGAGGTTACTACGCCTATCATTTTCCTTCCTATTACTTGCTACGCCACCCTTGATTTAATTTTAACCTTCTTTATAAAACTCCAGGTTTCTGCTCCGTAGGTGTGTACTGGTAAGATGCACCTTTTATATGCATTTTTTTTAGGGATAGTGGTAGACTACCATTCATAATTAACATATGAAACATAATGCAACTACACAAATGAAATTGGCCTGGCCGTGGCAGATGCATTTCAATGGAGACAAAATACTCGAGGTCCATATGCTTACATTTAGGTATGGGTTAAAGAACACCAAATGGCCAAAATTCTGGAGCACTCCACTATGGCGCCCTCATAATTATATTGCAGTTTCGGGACGTAAAACCCGAACAATTATTCATATTATGATGAATAAAATGGTTTCTTTAAGAAGGAGTACCGCATTACAATGCAAACCACACTCTCTGAGATGGCACTCCAAACGATGCAGATTTTCAGGAAAAGCTCAAAGCACAAAATTCATGTAGACCAAGGCAAGCCACCTTGTCGAAATGCTGGCTACAGCAACATTTCTTGTTCAATGACTTCTCCCAGGCAGCATATTATAAACTGTCAAAATCAAAATGAAGAAGCACTTGGGAGAAGTCTAAGGATGCACCAAAACGTGAATCAATCGATCAGGCAACACATCTTGACAGCAGGTATGCAAAAATACATAACTTCGAATATTCGGTTCAAACAGTTT